AAACTACAAGAAAAACGACTGGCTTAGAGTAAATCAAGGAGGAGAGTTCAAACTTGAGCTTAGTTCGGCCCCATATCCTATTGGTTTGGCAATGCGCAATATAAATCAAGATTTTAAATGGTAGATTTCCCAGTATAATTTTGACATTCAGATAGTCTAGGATGATTGATTTGTATGATTCACTTTTTGAAGTACACATAACTCTCGGATTTAAATCCGAAGTTTCCGCATTTATTTTTGTTTTGTTTTTTCAAGACCAAATACTGTATTGACATAAATATGACAAAGAAAATCTATATGAACAGTAATAGAATAGAATTTTAAAAAATTTTAGATTTCTTCCTCTTAAAAGATATAAGGTAATTTTCTATGATTTTATCTAATGTAGGACGGTTTTACTTTTATCAGCTGTGACTATAGATGGTAGTAGTTGTCTTTTTCAATCTGAATGGCTAATATCATTAACATAATGTTGTTAAAACGTGAACAAACTAAAAACTGAAAAAAATACGATCAAGAAATAAGAAGATTTTTTTATTTTTTTCTTAAACTTAAAATGTATTGGATTCAATGTATTGAAAATGGACCTTGTCGAGTGAATCATGCTGCAGGAGCACTAGATGATTTTATTTATTCATTTGGTGGTTATTCTCATAAAGAAGATTATACACGAGTTACTCCAATTGATATTCATATATTTAATATTCGTAAGAAAAACTTTTTTTGTTTTTTTTTTATTTATTAATCAATTTAGTTTTAGATACATTAAAATGGTATTTATTACCAAAACCACAACTAAATGATCCACAATATAATTTAACACCTTTTTCACGATATGGACATACAATTGTTGTTTATAAACGAAAATTCTATCTATGGGGTGGACGAAATGATCATCCTGTAGCATGTAATCGACTATTTTGTTTTGATCCTAGTAATTATTTTAAGTAAATATATATATTTTTAAAAATATATTTTAAAATAAATTAAGAATCTTGTCAATGGTCTATAATATCTATTGTTGGTGATTTTATTCCAACTCCTCGTGATGGTCATTCTGCATGTCTTATTAATGATAAAATGTATGTTTTTGGTGGATTTGAAGAACATGTAAGTTTATTTTAATTAATTCAAATTTTTCTTCATTTTTTTAATTGTTGATTAGACTCAACAATTTTCTAATGATCTTTTTTATTTTGATTTTAATAAATCATCTTGGCATTGTCGTCATTCAAAGGTTTTTAGTTTTATTTTAATTATTTTGTTTGATTATAAATA